TTTGTCCTAACTCAAATTATCCTCAAAATGAGGATAGTTCGAGCGTGTTTTTTTTTTCTCCCCCTCTCCCTCCCTTGTGATTTCTTTCTGACTTCCGGGTTGAGTGAACGCTGGCGCGTTTTGGCTGCCGCTGCTCAACCCGTATTGTTTTGTGTTTTTTGTTATTGTAAAGTGTCCTTGGGTGTCTTGAAAGGTGCTTATAAATAAAATGTATTATTATTATTATTATTATTAAAAGTGTTCAACAAAATTATTTGGAAAAATCCATTTATTTTATTGAATAAACCTGGAGTACATAGCTGCTGATGTACCGTAATTATGTTGATTGTTCATGCATAGTTTTCAAACATTTACCCTTTAAATATTATACTTATACTTTTGAGTATCAGAATTCTTGATTGTGAATATCAGTCAAAACAGAAAAATGGGTTCCCATGATGAACGTTTACGAAACCCCAAATTAATTACCGTGCTTTCTCACTGGGCAATTTAATGGAACCGAAAAACAGTTTCTGTTAATTTCCGAAATCCTCAGGCCTGACACTGATCGGAGGCAAATCCATACAGCAACATCCAATTGGGTCATCATAACCTTGTTGGTTTTTTTTCTTTGAACACAGAGATTTTGCATGCAACTGATGCATGGTTCATTTTGTACACTGATATAATGTACTACTCTGTTTTAAATTTGACAATAATGCCATTTTATTTTGCGATGGGTGAATGAAACTTGTATGGTTCAGCATTAAGAATCAGGTTGACTTGGGATGTTGAGAACAGAGAACTCTGGGACTCTATCTCTCTATTGCCTGATGTTGCTGAGGCAGCAGTGTGTGGACATGGGCAGCATGCTGAGCCCAGCACTTGTACAAAGACCCCAGGGCATCAGGACACACAACCAGCCAAAGTTGAGGAAAAGGAGACAGAAGCGATTAAACATGAAGAAGAGTCAGGCAGGTACGGCTACACGCACACTCACCTCAATGTTACATGAATGAGATTGACAGGTGTCACTCCACAAAACCCTACTCCCTAGTTTCCGGTCCACTTTATTTTTGCATACTTGTGTTAGCTCAGACGTTCAGAAGGACATCCAAGTGAGGCAAGGTTGCTCTTCATTTAAAGGAATGGGATTGTGATACAGTACTGTGTGCCTTCAACAGCTGACTTCGGGCAGTAGGCAGGACTGATTCCACATAGATAAACAACCATTCACACTCACAAATCACACCTAAAGACAATTTTAGAGTGATCAATTAAACTACCATGCATCTTTTTGGAATGTGAGAGGA